GTTTTCAAGGGCAGCTCCATGTAGAGTGCATTGCAGTAATCCAGTCTAGAGGTGACTAAGGCATGGACCACCTTGGCCAGATGCTTTTTTACCTTCATATCCTCTAAGGCAGTGATCCACAAACTATGGCCCACAGGCTGGATCCACAAACTATGGCCCACAGACTGGATGCAGCCCTTGGTCATGTATCCAACCTCTACCCTAAGCCTTAGGTTGCCCTAAGTCTGAAATGTCTTGAAGGCACACAACAACAAAAATCCTAATTTACTTGACTATCTCATCAGCCAAAACCAGACCCACACTTCTCATTGACATACTGGTAAGTTTGTGTTGGTTAAAATTGTGGATTTATCCCTGCTGCCCTTTTTTGCCATCTCATATGGGCTTCCTGCTGGGATGATATTAATTCAGGCTGCTCCAATCCTGCTTAGCCCATAAACTGACTGGAGTCCACGTCCTCTGAACTGAAGCAAGAGATGGGCTGATTCACCGCTGTACAAAGAGCTGCCATCCCTGCTTATCATTCTGCTGGCTCACAGAGCTCTGGAATCTGGTTGTGTTTGTAGGTTTTGCTACAGATTGAAGCAATTCATTTCCATTTTATTTCACCATTGGGGATTTGGTGAGATTATCTCCTTCCGGACGCATAAACCAGCGCCGTGTATATCTCCCCACCTCCTTCCACTCTCATGGCAGTGTCACCAGTGTAGCATTGATGGATGGCCTTAGTGAAGCTGCACAAGATTGTCTCCTGACTTTGCCCCGAGCAAACTGACCTTCCTGCATCCGCCAGCGACATGCCCATAAATGTAGCTTTGGTAGTTCCATTGTGAAAGTCATTTGCTTTCATGAGTAACAAGAGGCAGAGCCGTGTATTGCAAGATGTTTGCCGGCACAAAAGTGGGAGGCATGACAGATTTGTTTCTCTGTTAGGCAGCCTTAGATATGATTATTGTACAGACTATACCCTGGGGTTGCATTCTCTTTTCAGAACACCCTCAGTTCAGAACATGGAGTGGTTTTCCAAACAAAGCAGCGTTATGTGGCAGAATTCAGAACTTAAGTTTACATCTTCAGGAAAGAGAATCAAGCACTTTCATAACATCTACACTCAGCAGGATGCAGTGATGTTCCTTTGAATGCTATTTTCCTGCTTCTTGGTAGGGGGTTGGACTGGATGGCCCATGAGGTCTCTTCCAACTCTATGATTCTATGATCCTTCTTCTAGGAGTCAGTGAAATGATCACTGTGTTCGATTACACAGCTCCCTGGACAGCTGGCCCAGCTAGGTCCAAAATCTGTCCTTGCACTTTACTACCATAGTATCTAAAGTTAAAATGATCCTTTCTAAATTGCTCTTATCCTTATTGCTACTATAAGATCTATGCACTTTATTCTCTAGCCCTACATCCTAAATGGTTGTATTCCAGCCTGCCCACAAAGAGACTTGAATTATATTATTGGTTGTTGTTTCTGATACTTGTT